CATAAGTAGGTACTAAGTACTCAGGATAGGTACTAAGTACTCAGGATAGGTACTAAGTACTCATGATAGGTACGAGGTAGTTATGAGTATGTTTATGTTTATGTATTTAACAGACGCTTTTGTCCAAAGCAACTTACAAGTGATAATCGGCATGTTGCCCTTGAGGCTAACAATAAGTAGGTACTAAGTTCTCATGAGTAGGAACCAGGTACTAATGAAAAGCTACTAGGTACCTATGAGTAAGTACCAGGTATTCATGATGGGTACCAGGTACTTATGAGTAGGTACTAAGTACTCATGAGTAGGTACTAAGAACTTATGAGTAGGTAACAGGTACTCATGATATGTACTAAATACTTATGAGTAGGTACCAGGTATTTATGATAGGTACTAGGTACTTATGAGTAGGTATCAGGTATTCATGATAGGTACTAGGTACTTATGAGTAGATACCAGGTAGTCATGATGGATACCAGGTACTCATGAGTAGGTACTAGGTAGTCTTGATAGGTACCAGGTACTCATGATTAGGTACTGTGTACTTATGAGTAGGTACCATGTACTCTTGATTAGGTACTAGGTACTTATGAGTAGATACCAGGTATTCATGATAGGTACTAGGTACTTATGAGTAGGTACCAGGTAATCATGATAGGTACTAGGTACTTATGAGTAGGTACCAGGTATTCATGATAGGCACTAGGTACTTATGAGTAAGTACCAGGTAATCATGATAGGTACTAGGTACTTATGAGTACGTACCAGGTATTCATGATAGGTACCAGGTACTTATGAATAGGCATCAGGTACTCATGAGTAGGCACTAGGTACTCATGAGTAGGTACCAGGTATTCATGATAGGCACTAGTTACTTATGAGGAGGTACCAGGTATTCATGATAGGTACTTGGTACTTATGAATAGGTACCAGGTACTCATGAGTAGGCACTAGGTACTCATGTGTAGGTACCAGGTATTCATGATAGGCACTAGTTACTTATGAGTAGGTACCAGGTATTCATGATAGGTACTAGGTACTTATGAGTACGTACCAGGTATTCATGATAGGTACCAGGTACTTATGAATAGGCACCAGGTACTCATGAGTAGGTACTAAGTACTCAGGATAGGTACTAAGTACTCAGGATAGGTACTAAGTACTCATGATAGGTACGAGGTAGTTATGAGTATGTTTATGTTTATGTATTTAGCAGACGCTTTTGTCCAAAGCAACTTACAAGTGATAATCGGCATGTTGCCCTTGAGGCTAACAATAAGTAGGTACTAAGTACTCATGAGTAGGAACCAGGTACTAATGAAAAGCTACTAGGTACCTATGAGTAAGTACCAGGTATTCATGATGGGTACCAGGTACTTATGAGTAGGTACTAAGTACTCATGAGTGGGTACTAAGAACTTATGAGTAGGTAACAGGTACTCATGATATGTACTAAATACTTATGAGTAGGTACCAGGTATTTATGATAGGTACTAGGTACTTATGAGTAGGTATCAGGTATTCATGATAGGTACTAGGTACTTACGAGTAGATACCAGGTAGTCATGATGGATACCAGGTACTCATGAGTAGGTACTAGGTAGTCTTGATAGGTACCAGGTACTCATGATTAGGTACTGTGTACTTATGAGTAGGTACCATGTACTCTTGATTAGGTACTAGGTACTTATGAGTAGATACCAGGTATTCATGATAGGTACTAGGTACTTATGAGTAGGTACCAGGTATTCATGATAGGTACTAGGTACTTATGAGTAGGTACCAGGTAATCATGATAGGTACTAGGTACTTATGAGTAGGTACCAGGTATTCATGATAGGCACTAGGTACTTATGAGTAAGTACCAGGTAATCATGATAGGTACTAGGTACTTATGAGTACGTACCAGGTATTCATGATAGGTACCAGGTACTTATGAATAGGCATCAGGTACTCATGAGTAGGCACTAGGTACTCATGAGTAGGTACCAGGTATTCATGATAGGCACTAGTTACTTATGAGGAGGTACCAGGTATTCATGATAGGTACTTGGTACTTATGAATAGGTACCAGGTACTCATGAGTAGGCACTAGGTACTCATGTGTAGGTACCAGGTATTCATGATAGGCACTAGTTACTTATGAGTAGGTACCAGGTATTCATAATAGGCAATAGTTTCTTATGAGTAGGTACCAGGTATTCATGATAGGTACTAGGTACTTATGAGTACGTACCAGGTATTCATGATAGGTACCAGGTACTTATGAATAGGCACCAGGTACTCATGAGTAGGCACTAGGTACTCATGAATAGGTACCAGGTATTCATGATAGGCACTAGTTACTTATGAGTAGGTACCAGGTATTCATGATAGGTCCTAGGTACTTACGAGTTAGTACTAGGTATTCATGATAGGTACTAGGTACTTATGAGTAAGTACTAGGTATTCATGATAGGTACTAGGTACTTATGAATAGGTACCAGGTACTCATGAGTAGGCACTAGGTACTCATGTGTAGGTACCAGGTATTCATGATAGGCACTAGTTACTTATGAGTAGGTACCAGGTATTCATAATAGGCAATAGTTACTTATGAGTAGGTACCAGGTATTCATGATAGGTACTAGGTACTTATGAGTACGTACCAGGTATTCATGATAGGTACCAGGTACTTATGAATAGTGAGTAGGTACCAGGTATTCATAATAGGCAATAGTTACTTATGAGTAGGTACCAGGTATTCATGATAGGTACTAGGTACTTATGAGTACGTACCAGGTATTCATGATAGGTACCAGGTACTTATGAATAGGCATCAGGTACTCATGAGTAGGCACTAGGTACTCATGAATAGGTACCAGGTATTCATGATAGGTACTAGGTACTTATGAGTACGTACCAGGTATTCATGATAGGTACCAGGTACTTATGAATAGGCACCAGGTACTCATGAGTAGGCACTAGGTACTCATGAATAGGTACCAGGTATTCATGATAGGCACTAGTTACTTAAGAGTAGGTACCAGGTATTCATGATAGGTACTAGGTACTTACGAGTTAGTACTAGGTATTCATGATAGGTACTAGGTACTTATGAGTAAGTACTAGGTATTCATGATAGGTACTAGGTACTTATGAATGGGTACCAGGTATTCATGATAGGTAATAGGTACTTATGAGTAAGTAGCAGGTACTCATGATAGGTTCTCCCGGGAATTCTTCAGTCACTGGGAGGAGACTAAAAATCCCTGGAGTTAATCTTTGATCTGGGAACTCCTGGAGAGGGTCTCTGGGAGAGGGAGGTCCGGGTGTGAATGGATGGACAGACAGGATCGTGCAGCTTTGTTCCTGCAGGTGTGTCTGGACATTTCTGCAGGATTAATCCTGTAAAGTGAAATAAATGCTGGTTTAAAGGTTTATAAAATCATCTGCTGAGATTCCAGTAAAACTGTGTTAATTCCCTGGAAATAATCCTAACCCTGGAATCCACGTGTGAGTTAGATGTTCTGATCATGTCTGATCCATCAGGTTTACAACAGAAACCCCGGGTTTCCTCTGGTGAAGACTTTACTTCAGAAAGTGTATTTATTCTTGTGCCCGTGCTTCTAAAGTTCAATCTGATTTTTGTGACTTTTATTTGCACAGGTGATGAGTCGAGTCCAGACACGCTCAGGATCGTTCTGATCGGGAAGACCGGCTCTGGGAAGAGCTCCTCGGGAAACACCATCCTGGGAAGAAAAGAGTTTCAGGCCAAACCAAGTCAAAAATCCGTCACAAAGGAATGCTTCAAGGCACAGAGCGAAGTCGACGGTCGTCCGGTTTCCGTGGTCGACACTCCCGGTTTGTTCGACAACAGCTTATCCCACGAAGAGGTCGGGGAGGAGCTGGTGAAGTGCATCAAGCTTCTGGCTCCGGGACCGCACGTCTTCCTGTTGGTGATGCAAATCGACAGATTCACACCGGAACAGAGAGAAACTCTGAAACACATCAAGAGCGTCTTTGGGAAGAACGCTGAGAAGTTCACCATCGTCCTTTTAACTGGAGGAGACAACCTGGAAGCGAGCGACGTCTCCATCCAGGAGTACATCGACAACGAGGGCGTGGATTCGTTCAAGAAGCTGATCTCCGACTGCGGCGGGAGGTTCCACGTGTTTGACAATCGGAGTAAAGATCCGGCTCAGGTCCACCAGCTGATGAGGAAGATCGACGGCATGGTGAAGGAAAACGGAGACCGCTGCTACACCAACGAGCTGCTGCAACGGGCAGAAGCTGCCATTCAGAAGAAGGTGCAGGAGATCCTGAAAGAGAGAGAGGAAGAAATGAACAACAGGATGGAAGAACTGGAAAGAAAACATCAGGCAGAAAAACGAGTCATGATGGAAAAACTAGAAGAAGAGCGAGCTGAGATGGAGCAGGAGAGGAAGCAACTCCAGCAAATGGAGGAAATCCTCAAAGAGGAACAAGAGCAGCAACAAAAAGAACAAGGAATCAGAGAGGAAGAGGAAAGACGAAGAAGACAGGAGGAAGAACGACAACAGCTGACGTGGTTAGAAGAACTAACGGCTCTGGAGAAAAGAATCCAGTCAGAGTCTGAGGAGAAAGAAATGATCGACCAGAAGCTAGAGAGCGCGAGAGCAGAACTGGAGGAAAAACGACAAGTGATGGAGAAGGAGAAACGAGAGTGGTGGGACAAAAGACAACAAGAAGAAGAGAAGAGGCAAGAGAGGGAGGACAGCAGGATTCAGAACCTCCGAGACGAATACGAAAGGAAGAAAGAAAAGTATGAAAAACTGAAGATCGTGGAGGAAGCCATGAGGAGACAAGTTCACGAGAAAGAGCTGAGAGACTTGGAGGAGAAGTACAAGAGGGACATCGAGAACATGAAGAAGAAATTCTACGAAGGGGTCAGAAAGCAGGCGGAGCTCCGAGGGAAATACAAGCTCTTCGATCCGTTTCTTCCTGCCGTGGATTTAATGGATAAAATCTGTAAAATCCAGTAAGGAGCTGACGGAAGAGAGCGACGGGAAACCCAGAACCCTAACCCGAAGATCTGCCTGCGTGGCTCAAGATGGCGCCGACTGTAGCGGCACGCCATCTGTTGCTCGTAATTGTGGTTTTAGCGTTGTCTTCTGATCCCATTTTTAAATACGACCGACTCGCCCTCCTTGATCTTCGGCTGAGCTCAAGACTTAGGCTGCATGACGCTATGTTCAGGCTGACATTTGGTCACCTGTTCGACGAGGTCCCGGCGTTCCTGCTCGCTGTCCCAGGCTGAGTGGGGAGCTACCTGAGGCGGCGGAGATGGCGTGGAAAACGTGCTAGCGTCCGGGTCAGGATCCTGGCCCTCCGGCGAGAAAACAAGAGGTCGAGTAGCTTGTTTTAAAGGGACTTTACTGACTTTTGAATTTTTATGCTCGCCATTGCCCCCTCAGGCCAAAAGCGTAACGGCGGCATCAATAGTAGGCTCGTGCACGAGGCGCGCATGCTGTACGTGCACACTCCTTAACGAAAATAACAGCTGAGACGAAGCTCTGGTCAGCTGACAGTCCCTTGTGTGTGTGTGTGTGTGTGTGTGTGTGTGTGTGTGTGTGTGTGTGTGTGTGTGTGTGTGTGTGTGTGTGTGTGGCCTGGAGGACAGAGGACAGGAGAATGCGTAGCTAATTAATTAAATAATGTGGTTAATAATAATAATAATAATAATACATTTTATTTCAAAGCGCCTTTCAGGACACCCAAGGTCACTTTACACAAAACACGTAATAAAATACAATAAAACAATAATAAAACCGAAAGAAGAAAAAACAGAGAGAAACATTTCAATAAAATCAGAGGTTGTAGGCAGATTTAAACATATGTGTTTTGAGTTTTGATTGGAAAAGGGTAAAACTGTCGATGTTCCTGATGTCTGGGGGAAGTGAGTTCCAGAGTCGAGGAGCAGAGCGGCTGAAAGCTCTGCTCCCCATGGTAGCGAGACGGGCAGAAGGAACCGCAAGATGGATGGAAGAAGAAGATCTGAGTGAACGGGACGGGGTGTGAATACTTATAAGGTCTGAGATATATGGAGGAGAGAGGTTGTGGATTGCTTTGAAGGTATGGAGGAGAATTTTGAAGATGGGCCTGAATTTAACTGGGAGCCAGTGGAGCTGCTGGAGAACCGGCGTGATGTGGTGAAAGGAAGGGGTTCTGGTGATAATACGGGCTGCTGAATTCTGGACCAGTTGCAGTTTATGAAGGAGTTTGTTGGGGAGACCATAAAGAAGTGAATTGCAATAGTCGAGACGGGAGGTGACGAGGCTGTGGACGAGAATGGCGGCAGTGTGAGGGGTCAGTGAGGGACGAAGACGGTTTATGGAACGTAGATGGAAGTATGCTGACCGAATTAAGTTATTAATGTGAGCCTGAAAAGAAAGGGAGCTGTCGAGAATGACACCCAGACTCTTGACATGAGGTGAGGGGGAGACTGTGGCACTGTCAATAGTTAAAGAAAAGCTGTCAGATGTTGAGAGGGTGGAGTTAGTGCCAACTAGAAGAAGTTCAGTTTTATTGCCGTTGAGTTTGAGGAAATTAGAGGTGAACCATGATTTGATTTCAGAGAGGCAGAGTGTAAGGGAGGATGGTGGGAGAGTTGAGTTGGGCTTACTGGAAATGTAGAGCTGGGTGTCATCTGCAAAGCAGTGAAACTGGATATTGAATTTGCGGAAGATTTTGCCGATAGGGAGGAGATATACTATGAAGAGGAGGGGCCCCAGGACAGAGCCCTGGGGCACACCTGACTTGACTGGGGAGGGTTCTGAGGTAAAGGATTTTAACTGGATGAACTGAGTGCGGCCAGTAAGGTAAGATTGAAACCAGCGGAGGGGGGTGTGAGTGATGCCTAAGGAATAGAGTCTATTAAGGAGGATGGGATGAGAAATGGTGTCAAAGGCCGCACTCAGATCGAGGAGAATAAGAATAGAGATTAAACCAGAATCAGCAGCAATGAGTAGGTCGTTAGTGATCTTGATGAGAGCTGTTTCTGTGCTGTGGTGGGGACGGAAGCCAGACTGAAACTGTTCATAAAGGTTATTGCGGGTGAGATGTGAATGGAGCTGAGATGCAACAGTTTTCTCAAGGACTTTGGAAATGAAGGGAAGATGGGAAATGGGACGGAGGTTATTGAAATCATTGGGATCTAAACCAGGTTTTTTTAGAATAGGGCTGACTGAAGCGGATTTGAATAGGGATGGGACCGTACCAGAGGATAGTGAGGAATGAATAATGGCTGTTATAAAAGGGAGCAGAGAAGAAAGGCAGGATTTAACTAAAACAGTTGGAATAGGGTCTAGTTGACAGGTGGAAGGTTTGGATTTGGTGATGTAATCTAATATTTCTGAGGGATGGGGAAGTTCAAAGGAGGAGAACGGAATGGTGGGTTCAAATAAATCAGGAGAGGGAGGAATGAGGTAAAGAGAGATGGATTCTATTGACCTTCTCATTAAAAAACTGAAGGAGAGAGTTACAGGTTTCTGAAGAGTAAAGATGGATGGGTAAGGAGTCGGGAGGCTGAAAAATGCTGTTCATGATGGAAAATAATGTTTTAGTGTTGCTGGAGTTGGACGAGATGAGACCGGAGTAATACTGAGATTTGGCATGGGAGATGGAGTCCTTGTAGAGAGAAATCTGAGCAGAATATAAGTCTTTATGGATGGTGAGACCGGTTTTCTTGTAGAGTCTTTCAAGCCTCCGGTTGGTAGCTTTCAAGGAGCGAAGGGCAGGGGTGAACCATGGAGCAGACCGAGTAAAATATACAGAGCGGGATTTGATGGGAGCAAATGAATTAAGGATAGAAACCAGACCGTTATTGTACTGAATGACAAGATCATCGGGAGTAGAGGACAAATTAGGGGTCAAGGTGGCAAAACTGGAGGACAGGGAGGCTAGATCAATGTCCTTAATATTACGAAAAGAAATGATACGTGGTGACTTGATGATGGAGAGACGGAGGGGAACAGAAAAGGAGATGAGGAAGTGGTCCGTGAAAGGGAGCGGGTCAGCTGTACAGTTGGAGGGGGTCAGGCCGGAGCAGCAGATTAAATCCAGGGTGTGACCTTTAATGTGAGTGGGAAAATTGGCATATTGATGAAAACTGAGGCTGTCCAAAGATGAGGAGAAGTCTTTGCTGAGGGGGAGGGCCATATTGTCCATATGAATATTAAAATCACCAAGTAAAATTACATTTGGGGAAAGGGCGGACAGATGGGATAAAAGAGCAGAGAGTTCATTTAAAAACTCAGGGCTGAACTTGGGGGGACGATAAACAGTGACAATTATTGTGGGGGTCGGGCCGGAGAGTTGACAGGCGAGGCATTCCAGAGTGGTGAGAGGAGGAAGGTTTACGGGAAGGACCTTCCAAGTCTCGCGATACAGTATCGCGAGACCACCGCCGCGGCCCGACCCACGGGGTTTGGAGAGGTAAACAAATCCGGGAGGAGTACAGTCATTGAGTTGTGAGAAATCGCTGGGTTGTTGCCATGTTTCGTTCAGACAAAGAAAGTCTAGCTTATGGTCACTGATGGTATCTTGGAGGAGATGTCCTTTACCAGAGAGGGAGCGAATGTTGAGAAGACCAAAATTAGCAGTGCGGAAGTCCCTGGCGACAGGAGCATTAGTCCGACTAGCCAGCCGGGCTAACACGCTGGAGTCGGCAGCTCGGCAGGTATTCCTGGGTAGCCGCCGGCTAGTCGTGGACCAGAAGGAGGGTATTCCTTTGGAGCCGTCGAGATGGAGGTTCCGCCGGGACCCCCGATGGATATACCGACGGCGAGGCTGGAAGGTGATGTCGGGGAAGAGGCACAGAGCTGGTGGTGGAGATCCGGAGTAGCGAAAGCGGAGGTTGAAGAGCTCCGCCGCCGAGTACTGGAGAAGGCCATCCACGGACAGAAGAATGAGCGACAGGATGATCCAGGCCAGTGCGAGGCACACAGAAATCCTGCTGGACCACATTATGGAGTGGAGCAGGGAGGTGGTGATGTGCAACCAGAACGCAAGCTGAGCAGGTAGGTGAAAATGAGTTTTCACCGACACAGGGATGTGACCAGGGTGAAAAAGAAGAAAAAAAAAATACAAAAAGTTTGTTTGCCAGCGAGCAGCGGCAGCGAGACGCGCCAGCGTTCACTCAACCGGAACCGGGTTCTGTACCTTTCTCTTCAGCACAGCCGACAAAGGTTTATGATGGGCCAGTCCTCCTGCATGCTCAGATCATTCCCTTCCCTTGCTTGAAAAATTGTTCCAAAATGAAAGTTGAACCCACATCTTTTTTATCTGTGAATTCAATGCCGTTCGGCGAGTCTCAAATAAAAATTTGGGCATCTTACTGTAAATAAATATACCATTAATGTAAAAAAGAAACTAAATAAACTATGTTCACACCCAGAATCAAACCCAGGTCTTCTCACGAGAGCCTGAAATCTTACAAGGCAAGCTAAACCACCAGTGGTGTCTTCTATATCTGTAACATTTATATCCTTGATGACAGCTGAAACAACGTTCAAAGAACGGTTCGGAGGGCTATGCCTGAGTGTGAACGTGCATGAAGCAGCCTGCTCGACCCGAGCATCTCTCTTTTTCTGTGATTTTACAGAAAAACAGGCAATCACAGTAAAAATGCCAGGGCTCATTCTACAGGACCAGGGCATTGCAGGAGAATGTATGAAGAAGACATTTATTATTTCTATACATGTTTTGGCTGTCACACTTCCATAATGCCCCTTTAAGCTTTGTGTGGGCTAGGTTATACAGTCAAACTCATGAGTGGGCCACCCTAGCTGCAATACCTTCTCTGAACTGCATGGCGCTAAAGAGTCGCATGGATTTCACACACGGGGCCTTTAAATCTCGTTTAAAGACCCACTTCTAGGTTTTGGCTTTTAGACAGTGACTCGTTGTATTGTTTTATTGTTTTATTGTTTTATTGCAGGGTCGTCAATCTCAAATTCACACTGGGCCAAAATGAAAAACGGGG